GGGGCGGCGGGGCCCTGCCTGCGCCCCCACTCCGGGCGCCGCGATCACGGCCGCGTCCTGTCCGCCGTGCGCTCCTAATAGCTCCACGGCAGAGTTCCCGGGTAAGTTTGGGGAAGAATCCGGGAGACTATTGCACCTAGAGTCACTGTCATGGTGGACTGTCCAAGCTCGACCTAGCCGGGCTTCTGAGCTGCGATCCGGAGGACGCGTGTGTGCTGCAAGGAGAAAGAAATACAGTGCTCCCTGCAGAGGAAGGAAATAAAACAGCAAGTTCGGCGCTTTAAAAAGCTGTCCAAGATTGCCCATGTTTGTGTATATCACCCAACAGTACCATCCGCATCTTCATCACCAATATGGGGCTCCCCTCAGCACAGACACCAGATCAGCCCTGGAAGTTAGTTTCTACTAAGACAATTCTTAGTTTCTGCTAAGACAACTGTAACTCCTTAAGGCCTCCTACTACTGCTTAGAACTAGCCACGTGTTGGGAGCTCCCAGAGCCCTACAGAGGCAGATCTTTGGCGCTGCAGACCTGTCATTCATTCATTCTTTCCGACATCAGCATATGTACGCTGATGTGGCTAACTTCTTGCGAGGCCCTAAGAAAATAACGTGTAGCAAGTGTGAAACTGGGTCACACCTGTGGATGTTCTCTAGGAACTCAACCTGGCAACCTAAAATATTAACGAAGAAGCCTCTGTCTCTTGCTGCACTCCATCAGACATTATTGCAGCGGTAGCTTGTAGGTTTTCTTAAAGCTCTTTCCAAAGTGCCAGTTCCAAGGGACGATTCTTAGTTCCACTTGACCTCTTTCTCTCCTGCATTTCAACACTTCCTCCTGGAATTTCCATCATTTTCCATGATTTTACTTGTTTCTAGTCTCCCCTCCTCTGACCATACTTCTTTGCTAGCTAAACTCTTTGGCTTTTCAGTGATGCGCTTTCCACAACCAAGCCCGAATCTCTTCATTATTGTACTTCCTAGACTCCTGTTCATATCCCCCAATGAGTCCAAAATCTTTACTGACGCTCTGCATGGTGTGTCCTAAACACTAATTCTACTCATTCCACAGACCCCCCCAAAGCCAAAACCTACCCCAAACCTTTCCCCCACTGCTTTTTCATCATGCAAGCTAAATATCAGAACCATCCACAATGGCTCAACCTCATTTCCCTTAGTCTAAGCTTGTCAGTTTTATCACCTAAACAACCTGCCTTCTGCTTCTGTCCCTTAGCCAAGAGTCCATTATCTCTCATCAGTTGTTTCCTCCAGCCCCTTTTGAGATGGTGGGGTCTGACCATGTAGCCCAGGCTGAGCTGCCTAAGATATGTGTCCCCCATCCCATCTTCTCTATACTTTTCCTTCTGTCCCAGAGTTGTCTGTCTGCAATACAGACCGGAATCTCTTCCTCAGCAGTCTCCAAGAACTATCCTAACGGGAGCCTCTCTGGAGTTACAGCGGGTTTTCTCCAAGAACTATCCTAACAGGAGCCTCTCTGGAGTCCGAGGGTTTTCTCCAAGAACTATCCTAATGGGAGCTTCTCTGGAGTCCGCGGGTTTTCTCCGCTTGTCTTCCGCCTTTGTCATAGCCCTCCACACGAATGCAGCTCAGATTTCAATGTTTGCCTGCTAAGCATGATATACTTCATATTTCCTGGCTTGGTCTTATTTTGTCTCTGGCACACATGAGTGAGGGTTCCCTGTGTATCGTACTGTATAAGCCCATGAGACTCATGCAAAAATTTAGGTCTAAGCTATGCCCATTTGTAGGGAGCACCGAAGCACAGAGTGGGTAAGTAATATGCCTAAGGTTACACAGCAAATAATAGAGCTATGACTTAAACTCAGACAATCCACTTATAATGTGTTCTCTAAACTACCACAGTTTCTTTCTTACTCTGGACTTCCACAATTGGGGCATCTTGTTTTACATTTCTATGACCCCTACTGTATATTGTTAGATTTAAGACATCATCTGATAATCTTTTGTCTCTGACCAGGGCAAAGACCTGATCATGTACATCTTTGAGGTAATTTTGTTTGTTTTGTTTGTATGTGGGGTCAGTGATGCATGGCATTTGTCTGGAGGTCAGAGGACAACTTCAGGTGTCATGCGCCTTCAACGTTGTTTAAAGTGGGGTTCCTGTTGTTTTCCACCTCATATTGCCAGACTGACTGACCCTTGAACTCCGGGGATTCTCCAGTGTCCACCACTTTTTATCTCCCTGTAGAGGTAGTGGGATTACAGACACATGAACTATGTGCCCTACTTTTCCATACCTTCTGGAGTTTGAACTCAAGTCCTCATGCTTATTGAGGCAAGTGTTTTACCCTATCTTTGAGTTTTTAGTGTTGGGTGAAAAGCTGACCACCACCACCCCCAGTCTGTGTGTGTGTGTGTGTGTGTGTGTGTGTGTGTGTATGACACACACACACACTCACACTCACACTCACACAAGGTGGGGGGAGCAGCAGTTGGATAAATTAAAGGAAAATAATCAGATAGCTCTCCGTGGGTCTTAAGACTGCATAGGATTGTGGGTATACAGCTCAGTGGTAGAATGTTTGCCCTGCACTTAAAAATCTTACAAAAAAACACTTATAGCAATAACTGGACCAGGTGTGGTGGCACATGCTTTTAATTCCAGTACTTGTTAGGCAGATGCAAGTGAAGGCCAGGTCAGTATACATAGCAAGTTCCAGCTCAGCCAGGGCTACACAGTGAGAGCCTGTCTCAAAAGAAGTTATAATAATATGTCCATACAATTTTTATTGTAATAAGATATTCATGCTCCTTGGCAGGTGCATATTATACACATGGTCATATGGTAAATGCAATAGCAATGGTACACATCACTACATTTCCAGGTTACAGAACTGAATGTGAAATGGAGAATATTAATCATTATTATTGTGTGAGATAAGCATATTTGTGAAACTTGTTCTGGTTATTTTTTTAAATGGCAGGTTCTTGAAGATAAAGTATAAATTACAGTATTTGATTAACAAAAGGTATTCATTAATATGTTGTTTCAAATGCTTTAGTTTTTTTTTCAGATAAAGAAAGTTGTGTGTGTGTAGTATGTTTGCAGATGTGCACATACCTTTGCACAACACATGTGGAGACCACTGAGGAGATCAGATGTCCTGCTGTATCACTCTCTGCCTCACTCTGCCTCACTCTTTTGAGGCAGGGTCTCTTAATGAACCTGGAGCTAGGCTAGCTTCCAGCAACCTCCAGTGATCCTCCTATCTCAGCTCACCCCCACCCCAGCAGTGGGGTTACAGGCTGGCATGCCTTTGTATGTGGATGCTGGAATCTGAACTCAGGTCCCTGTGTTTAAGTAGCAGCCTCCCTTACCTACTGCGCTATCTCTCTGGCCCCTCAAATACATAATTTTAAAAACTACTTTTATAGCAGGAATTTTGTCTCAGTAAAAAGAAATAAGATGGAAACACCTAGCTGAAATCCAACCTTGTGTACATGCATACACACATTCTTTGTACACCCATAGCTATAATGACATAGTATTTGTAGAAAGGTGACATTCCAAGGTAAACCAGTTTGGAAAATGTTGGTGCAAAAGTTTATATTTTTCATGTTAAGGTAAATATTCACTGATAAAAATCATTGCATCTCTGTTTAGAGAAACATGTAAAACCAAAGAGTCTATAATTCTAGAATCTGTGATTGGCAGAAAGAGAAGAACTCTGAAAAGACAGATTGCTAGCATTTCTGATAGTTCATTTAGTTAAAATGAAACGTACAGTCCAGCTTCAGTTCCGAGGCACAAGTCTGAGATATGTAGCCACCAGCCTCTCATGCATAACTTAGGTGGGTGCCATTTAGTCCTGCGTTTACATAAAATGTGCTTATTGAGCCCAGGCTTACTTATTTAATGTGTAATGAATTTGTTACACCATATTTTAGCCTGAGTAAAGTAACATGCAGAGCTTATTGATGCAGAATTATACCATGTTTGTGTCTGTGTGTGCTGGGAATTGAACTCAAGGCCTTATACATGCTCACACCTGTGCCTCTGTACTGTACCCTCAGCCTCTAAAATATAACTTTTAAGGGCTTTTTAAGGATTAGGCCTTATGGCCCACAGGAACTCTATGGGGGCCATGGGCCCCAATTCACACCAAAATTATGAGAGAGTGCTTAGAAATAAAAGCCTTTGCTGTCCCCTGCCCCAGTAAACGTTACCAGTGAAGCTGAAGGAATGACTGCCTGGGACTCTTTCCTCCACATTCTGAACCATTCGAAGAGGAATCCTTAATCAGGACAAAGGGAAAACCTCAGGGAATTCGGCATCATTATCCACTTCACAACAAACACGTAATACTGCGGTAGGTCACCTTCTAAATAGAAAAGAGGAATATTCACCAGAGCCAGCCTGTCACCTCAAGGTCCATGTGGATCTGCTGATTTGAGCTGTTTCACACGCATGGTAGAGGAATGGGCTTGGTGCAAGTAACAGCGTGGACTGGGTGGGTCAGCAATAGGAAATTCAGAGACCATCACTGCTGATGTCACAATGTCCTACTGTCCCAGTGTGCACCTACCTCTCCACCCAAGTAGGCTGAGTCCTTCCTAGATGTGATCCCTCTGCTCAGGTGTTCATCCTGAACAACTCTTCAGTTTCAATGAATGAATTCAATGGGGAGAACACAGCCTCCGACATGAGTCCACAGAGCACCGCTGGTGGCCCCTGGCTTTTCAGATTCCTTCCTCAGGCATCTTCTACCAGACACAGACGGATACTGCACTGAATTCTTAGCGCTCCCCTGTCTTTATCAAACGGATAGAATGTGGGGTATAAAGCTGCCTTTCTAGGGCTTGGGAGTCTCAAGTACAAATAAAAATATTGTGTCGATTTGTAATAAAATTCACAAAAATCCTGTTTGATTCATTGCTAGTGAACTGTCCCCCAAGTCAGGGAAATTGCCAGGTTTGCACACCTGTAATCCCAGCATGGGGAGACTGAGGCAGATGGATCTTGAGTTCCAGGCCAGCATGAGCCACACTGTTGAGACTCCATCTCACAAAACAAAAAAAAAAAAAGAAAAAATTCAAGGAAATATAATCATTCTCACCTTTCACTCTTGAATGTGTGACATTCACAGGCCACTACTGCCTGCTGACTAATGCCACAGTGTAGGCAAATGGGAAACTTTTAAATTTTCTCATAGTGACATTTAAAGGTTTTTTGGTTGATTGCTTGGTTGGCTTTTGTTTTGTTTTGTTTCTTGGTTTTTCCAGACAAGATATCTCTGTGTTGCAGTTCTGGCTGTCCTGGAACTCCTTTGTAGATCAGTCTGGCCTTGAACTTGTAGAGATCCACATGCCTGTGCCTCCTAGGTGCTAGAATTAAAGACATGCACCACCACCACCTGGCAACATTTAAATTTTTTAAAAGACATCATCTATTATTTAACACCTCATTTAACCCAAATATATATTCAATGTGAAGTATTATTGAGATGTTTTATATTCTGTTTTCCAGGTAGGATTTGTGTTAGGTGAGTATTCATGCCTTCAGTGCATCCTGATTCAAAACAACTGCTTTTTCAGCCCAGTTGCTGTTTGTGGGAGCAGCCCTTACTTTGGGCAGCTCAGGCCTGGGCAGTAGTTGGCCTGAAACAGATACTGAAACAATCAGGGAAGGTTAGTATTCTTTCAAAATTATTATTGAGTTTTTAAATTTTTATTTTATATGTACGGGTGTTTGCCTTCAAGTATGTCTGTGTACCATGTGCATGTAGTACCCTTAGAGGTTAACAATTGGTATTGAATCTCCTGGGACTGGAGTTAACAGACAATTGTTAGCTATCATGTGGGTGCTGGGAAGTGAACCTAGGTTCTCAGGAAGAGCATCCAGTGCTCTTAATCACTGAGCCATCTCTCCAGCCCCAAAGTTCTTAACCTTCAGAAAATAAACAGAAATCAAAGTAAACCTGGAATATTTATGTATAGCCAATAGAAAGCACAGAAATTTAGCACTTGGAAAGTTAAGGTAGTTCAATTGGAGCAAACTTTGGACAAGAGAGAAATAAAATATAATCTTAGAAATAAACATCTCAGAGCTAGAGGTGTAGCTCAGGTAGTGAACGCTTGCCTACCATTGCACAAAGCTCTGGTTCATTCCCCAACAACCATAAACTAGGTATGGTGACATACCTTCTAATACCAGCACTCAGGTAGAGGCAGAAGAGTTAAATGTTTATCATCGCTGCCTGTATGCTTAGTCTAGGACAGCCTGGACTATAGGAGAGTCTGTCTCAAATGTGTTTGTGTGTGTGAATCTATATGTAGACCTTGAATACATGTTTTTAATATGTATAGCAATTTAGGAAAACTGCATAACCAAAACTTATTTTGAGGTATTGGGAATTGAACCCAGGTCTGTGTATACCAAACAAGCAAGCCCTCTACATAGAGCTACATTCTCAGCCCTCTTTTTACATTTTAATTTTGAGTGTGCCTCCCTGTTACTGAGCTTGACCTTGAACCCCTTGGCTCCATCACAGTGGGTAATAATTTCAAAGAAATTATTTAAGATGAATGAGAAGAGTTTCGAGAGAAAATTTTCTTTGCAAATATTAGAAAGCTGAGAAAATACAAATATCAGAGTCAGGTTAGCCTAAATGAATGAGAATAACAAAAATATCAAAATGCTCATATTATAAGATGATCATCTTGAGGACATGTCTATACGGAAAGAAGGACTGTTAATGGAGAAGCCAAAAGGCAAAGTCCGACTGTTTTGATGTAGTGTGAAAGACTAGGGAGAAGCTTTTAGGACAGCTGAGCAAGGAAATGAGTGGGCTGAATTCCTTATGGGTGAAATGTGATGCAGCAGCTTTGAACTGACCTGCAGCGAGGTGAGTAAAGGCTGTGACCACAGCCTCCTAGGATGGCCCCAAACGTGAATTTTAGAGGATTTGGTGTTTGGAGGTCGTCTTCGCTTTTGTTTTCTGCACCGCTCTGAAAGAGTTCCCATGGCTTTTTTGCTAACCTTGACCACAGTTGGGGTGGGGTGGGTGGGTGTTGAGTGGGGAGGAAAGGAGGCCGGGGCTGGGCAGGCCTGGTGAGCTCTGGGGTGTGGGGGCTGACAGCACAACCAGCAGGTCAGGCCTAGCTGGAAGGAGCAGCCGGTGGGAGGGGTTGAGAGAGAGATTGTATTTATTCTTCGTCCATAGGATCAGCTTGCAGAGGAAGGGCATAGCTGTGAAGCAGGAGAATGCTATGCTTGTCTGTGCGGCTGGGCTGGGCTGCACACCTGAGTGAATTTTATTCCTCACATCTCAGCCTCTTAGTTTACTAGCACTGAGCAAGGAGTTAAGTTGGCTGATTTGGGGTCTGAGAGAGGCCTTGGTTTATTTCAGGTAGGGGGTGATCTCCAGAACTAATAAACAGCTTTGATAGGTATAGAGTCAGTGATTAGAATTTTCCACAGTGCCTCTGATATCTTAAGTTCAGATCCCTTAGTTTTTTGGTCTTTTTTTCCTTTTTTTTTTTTTTAACAACTTACAAACTGTTGTATGGCATCAGCTTTGCAACTTCTGAACTAAAGTCCGAGGGTTACAAGAAATAGTCATGGGTGGAAAGCGTGTTCTACTTTATCACTGTATGACTGGGCAAATGTTACCTTCCTTCTTTGAGGCTCAGTTCCCCTGACTGGTAGCACAAGTTTGTATTAAATAAAAACTTGGTTTCCTTCTATGTCAAACTTCCTGGAAGTATAGTTGTTCACAGTACATACAGAATACCCGTGTGCCACTACACTTTAGAATGCTAGAAATACAAAATAGAACCAATCACACAGTTCTGGCAGGCCTTCCCAAGCTACTCAACCTGGAGTTCTGTGTCAAGCCACATGGAATCTGTGAGAGGTAAGGTCTCTGAGAAAACTATGCAAGTGCTGGGGCAGGGAGTACCCAGCAGTCAGAGGGCTAGTTTGGCAACAGGAGAGGCTAGCCTGAGTTACCTGAATTTGTGCTTAAACCAACTGGTCATTATGCTGTAGAGGTGATAATGGTCTATTCCCTAACCTCTCTGGGCCCCCAGGGTCTTTATCTGTAAAGATAAAGATCCTCATACCCTTGTGTGAAGGGTAAAGGAGACAGTACACATAGCACAAAATGACAGGTAGTGGCTGCTCATTCTAGAAGAGGTGACATGTGAATTGAGGTTTGAAAAATGAACAGCAGTGAATATCAAACTGAGATGATTTTTGTTTTGTTTTCAAAAACTGAAAGTAACTTAATGAATTACATATGAGATCAATTAATTTGGAAAAAAGCAGTTGCTTTCCATTGCATTATACTTTTATAGCACTGCACTTCACAAACTAAACGATAACCCAGATAAGTCATGATCATAACAAGTATTGTGGATACATGATGAAAGCAACATTGACTGATCTCTTGAAACACCAGGTTGACACATAGATTCTTCTGACAGCCTATTGGCTCTTGGCATCTAGAGATACTAAACAGCAGAGTTATATTGGTTGTTCATAAATATCTGTGTACCTTTATTACACATCTCCCCCAAATCTCAGGAGGATGTGATCTCAAGATAAGCGGTGGTGACAATGGCCAGTGACAACTCAGGAAGTTTTTTAACCACTCCATGATACGAAGAAAAGTAGGAGGCAGCACACGCCTCTCCTGTCTAGTCAATGGAGCTGATGCTGAGGTACAAAAGTCCTGGCATATCATCTGCCTCTGCTCTTGTCTGCAACAGGACAGTATAAGACTCTAGATGAGCTGGGTGGTGGTGGCACACGCCTTTAATCCCAGCACTCAGGAGGCAGAGGCAGGTGGATCTCTGTGAGTTCGAGGCCAGCCTGGGCTACCAAGTGAGT